AATCGTGGGTATCCGACGTTGAATAAAAAGTTAGTGCCGACTACTAACTCAAGAAAGGGACATAACGAGTATGACATGTTTAATTTGTATATAAATAAATTATCTCCCTTTCTTCATTAAAAAAAAAGTGAGTCAACAGCAAGTTTTACTCCTCCAAAGTTTTTTCTAAATTTTATTCGTCCATACACACAATGTATGTTTTTAAAGATCTTAAGGATGAAAAAAAAATAATCTAAAATTGCATATAGAGTAGAATTTTCTGTCTATCTATTAAAAGAATACAGATGTTTTCAGCATCTTTCTGAAAAAGAAGAAACAAATTATGATAGTGACTTAATAGGTACTAAGGTATTTATTACTTTTATATACATATTTGTTAATAATTAATTTATAAATATAGATCATGGTCAAGGGAGAAAAATCAATTCCAGTGGTATATAATTTTGCCATGCTGCTTTTGCAAACTTCAAGTAATGCTTGTAGAAGTGTCTTACAATTATACACTGTGTTATTTAATACAAAATGTAATTTGAAATAGAGCACATTGAAGCAGTTCACGCAAGACTCAAGTCTGTATGTCAAAGGACAAGGTCACACTTGTACATTCAGTCATGGTATAATTTTTTCATAAATGTATTTGACATGAAGAATAAGTTAGGTCTCCGACTCGCAGTCATGATTTAAGTGCATTGATGGCCGTGTCTGGTTTATAATTCTGTCAAAAAATTAGAACACATTTGTTGGCCAGAATGATAACGTATCATATATGCAAGAATTAGAGCTTCAGTCCAGATACTTTGGTACGTCCAAAGTCATAATATTATAGTGAATAGATGTTTGCCTTCTGTGAATAATGTTATTTATGGGTGGATTTTAAGACGACATATAATGAACAGGAAAAAGGTCAGCAGCTTAAAGGTCAAGACTACAATTGCATGTCAAACATCATGATGTGATACTGCTTTGATGTTTGTATCAGTTCTATCATTCATGGTTGGATTTAGAAATAACTCTGTATAATGTTATTGTACATTAAAAAGACTTATCAACCACAAACACAACGTCGGCAACTAAGGTGAAGGTTACACTTGAATATCAAACAAGAGCTGTCGGTAGGACAGCACGCTCGACTATTATATGTGCTTGATAGTATGACCCTCCAATTATGACCCTAAGTGCATTTGTAAAGTTTCAAGTAAATATCTTTGAAGACCTTTAACCTTTAACCAAAATTTCTAAGTTTCAAAGGGGCAAATTATTCTGCAAATATTGCAGGCAGAGTTGTGCAATTTTGCAAACTGATGTACATTGTTACTATAAAAAAGTATTTTAAATTTCAATTGAATATCTCAAGCAATAATTGAGATATTTGAATTTACAAAAAAACTTTAACCAAAATTTTTAAGTTCCAAAGGGGCATAATTCTGTCAATATTGTAGGCATAGTTATCCAACTTGTCAATCTGATGTACCTTGTTACTATAAATAAGTATTGTAAGTTTCAATTGAATATCTCAAGCAATAATTGAGATATTTTACTTTACAAAAAACTTTAACCAAAAGTTCTAAGTTAAAAAGGGTCATAATTCTGTAAATATTGTAGGCAGAGTTATCCAACTTGTCAATCTGATGTACCTTGTTCCTATAAATATGTATTGTAAGTTTCAATTGAATATCTCAAGTACTAATTGAGATATTAGACTTTACAAAAAACTTTAACCAAAATTTCTAAGTTAAAAAGGGGCATAATTCTGTCAATATTGTAGGCAGAGTTATCCAACTTGTCATTCTGATGTACCTTGTTACTATAAATAAGTATTGTAAGTTTCAATTGAAAATTTCAAGAAATAATTGAGATATTTGACTTTACAAAAAACTGTAACCAACGCAGACACTGGTCAACGCGGACGCTGACGCCGGGGCGACTACAATAGCTCTCATATTCTTCGAATAGTCGAGCTAAAAAGTACATTGATGGTTGTGTGTGTCTGCTCATTTCTATGGATGCTTTATAAACAACAAATGGGGATACTAAGAATTTAGCTAGAAATGTTTCCACAGGACACATATGCCCCTACATACTGTTTCGACAGGTGACAGATGGACAAAGCCAGCCTTCAAACTTTTATCTTGATATTCCCAAATGATAATAGGGATATCGAAAATGGGAAGCTGGCCAAGTCTATTTAAAGATCCTGTATGTTGTAATTAAGGTTGTTACCACACTTAACTGAAATTTTATATATGTATATAACTATGCTTCTAAAACAATTTTCAAACATCCACGAATATGTAAAATATGTACTGCAAATGTTTAATTGCATTATATGCAATCATTCATTTCTTATTGAATAATTTGGCTTAGATTTTATAGAAAATAATTTTTTAATTACCTCCCTTTATTTACATGAAATGTAAATTCTGTAATATCTTTTAAAATAATGCGTTTTGGAACTTAAAATATTGATACATTTTCAAGTGAGCATCATATTTATGATATAAAACCATAAAGAATTTGAGTCACAGGACCTTTAAGAGACTCAGCATGTTCAGTGTTAAAAGCAACTATATCCTGATGTATGACAACATGAGTAAGTATATATGTTGTTGTTGTTTTAAGTTTATTTTAGCTCGGTGCTGGAAATTCCATATGTCTGAGATCTCAGCGTCCATGCCGGTCCACTCTAGTAGTCACATCAGGGACGTCTTTTTCATGCCGATCTTCCTAAGTCCTGTTCTTCGTTCTATGGAGGAAAGACAATACCGGAAAAGCATCAAGTTCCGTGGCGGCTGCAAACAGGCGGTTGACATAAAACGGCTCTTGTTAGCGCCACCCTCCAGAGTTATTCACAACAGGTCAACCAATCACCTCTGGTACTTAAGATGATTTGACCTTGACCTGCCGTGTGCCTTCTCTGCGACGTGCACGCCTCTGGAGGGATTTGGAGAAGTAAGTATATATGATCTCATACCAGAGATTTATACATGAAGGACTTACACTGAAGCCCGCAAGCTGTGATATAACAGATGTGCTCATACAAAACACACAAACTGATGATCAAAAGACAATATCTCATATAACTTGGTCAATATATACAACAAAAACTCTCCAATTAACTTTTATTTTGTTTTGTTGGCAATTCATTAAATTGTACAAATAATGCAACACAGATCAATAACATTATACATGACAGGGCAAATAACGATATGTAGTGAATATATCAAGGAACTGTAACTAAAAACTAACTAATAATAAATTCCCAGAATTCACCTGCTCCGAGGAGGTAGAACACCTTTGTCAAATACTACAAAATAAAATAAAAATATATTCTATAACTTAAATATATTTCCTATAGAGTACTTTACCATAAGGGGTAAGGTATAAAGAGGATATTCAAGTTTCTTCTATAAATACAGGATTTATTTTCATTGAGTGGTATAGAACATTACAGTGAAAATACAGAAAATAAAAATACGCATTTTATCTCATCAATATTTCTTAAAATTCCATTTATAAGTATATAATAATTTACAATTATATTACTGTTTAACTGCGTAGGAACATTATAAGATAATTAACAGTGATGAGGATATATGATCCGTCTATGACACCAGAATAAAGCTTTTCCGTGGAGTACAACAAAACCCTGTACTGTTTGCTGCAAAGCTGTAAATTTTGTATTGTGGCACCTCTAAAACTGACAATGGTATGACCAAAAGTCAGAACGGATGTAAAAAAAAATCTTCCTACTCTACCAAACTTTATACATTTGTAATTTATATAATTTTTATAGATCGTAAAAGTCTAATACGTAAAATTAAAGATGAAAAAAGCATAAAGAATATTAACATATTAGCATTATGTATTACTGGTAATCAAATCTTCTTACTTTATTTTTTAAATTTTCGAATTTACTTTATATAATTTTGCAGTCTTTAAAATTTATCATAAAGGGTTAGAGGTTTTGTGTATTATTCAAGTAATAGGCATACATATTTATAGACAATTAAATTAAGTATTTGCTCATAAAATACTGTACTTAATAGATCTGATATGTGACATAATATAATAGCAATGTTCTATTTTAATTATTTTTTGCAGCAGTCTTTTATGTTCTTTTTATCATTCAAAATTTCAATGGCATACTTCTTCATTTATAACAATTTTTTTTGACCACTTTCATCCTTTCTGCAATATTGTATCAGTCAAATACGGCATTTTAATTTACATCATATCATATATGATTTAAAGGCAATTAAATCAATTTATATCATCTTCTATAATTTATGAATGTATATTTTCTTTAGCAATACATTCAGTTGATGGAACGTTGTGTTTTTTCCAAACATATCTAAACCAGAATGATGAAATTCACTTTAAGTTTTGCAACATTTAATGTTCAAGTACAAATACATTAACTTGTAACCTTTTGCATGCTGGGAACAAAGTCCCCAGTCACAAGCTTTGTAAAATGCACCAGACAAGAAGTGAAGTTTCTCAACATCTTGTCATAAACCAAGCTGTTTCTGAGAAAAATTGGATTTAATTTTAAAACAAGCAGATGACAATTTTTAGCAGACGACAATTTTTCCCAGCATGCAAAGGGTTAGAAGAATCACAAGCAAACTTACTACCTATATGTATATGACAGACAATACCATCTGATGGCTTAAGTTGTAAAACTGGTATATATAATGAATGACTTTACCACAGCACTATCTCATCTATAAGTGAAAATAATACAAATAATATTTGTGTCTTTAAAAAAAATGAAACATTTAGTGTTGGACTTTCACATTTAAACATGCATATGTATGCACTATGACCAACAGACGTCTTTCTGAAATATAAGTCAAAATTCTTATGTCCTTCTAAACTCACTTTTATATTCTTATACATATGCTCATCACCTGTTTATCATTTACATACTAAGCTTTTCCTCAAACTGATCAAAATGAAAAAAAAAAGATGAAAAAAACTTTGGAAAAAAAAAAAATGAAATTATTCCTAAAAGTTGTGCTCCCTCCTAGTAAAATAAAAAGAATAAACAAAACAATGACAATAAAACATAATAAAACAATGATGTGGTAAGATAATGGTCACAAAAACAGCAATGTAACATATACATGAAAATCAGCAAGTATAACATCTTGGTATCAAAGTTATCATCTTTACTCAAATACAATGCATTTTTTGTACTCTGTATGTCCTTGATACTGATTGGCCAGGTTTGAATAACTGTCTAATCATATTTCTTGGTACAAATTTGGTAAATCAATGTTGTTAAAATTGATAGGCAAAACAGTTTCACTGTGTGAACTACTGACCAATCATTATTCTTTGTACATATCTTGTTACGTTGTACTAATTTCATATGTTTGGTTAAATTTAGCAATTCAACTTATTTAAACTGTATTATGAAACAAGTTCTTGCAACTTATGTTTATCTCCTTTGAGTTAACCCTAGAAATTCATTGGCTGTAAGGTATGAACAATTTACCAATCATATGTCATGTGATATATATTACGGTTGCATCAGTATATATAACCTTGACATAGATAGGTCAGTAAAGTAACATGACCTTGACACAGATATGTGAGTAAAGTAATATGACCTTGACAGAGATGTACGAGTAAAGTAACATGACCTTGACAGAGATATGTGAGTAAAGTAATATGACCTTGACAGAGATGTACGAGTAAAGTAACATGACCTTGACATAGATATGTGAGTAAAGTAACATGACCTTGACAGAGATATGTGAGTAAAGTAATATGACCTTGACAGAGATGTACGAGTAAAGTAACATGACCTTGACATAGATATGTGAGTAAAGTAATATAACCTTGACACAGATGTCTGAGTAAAGTAATATGACCTTGACAGAGATGTCTGAGTAAAGTAATATGACCTTGACACAGATGTCTGAGTAAAGTAATATGACCTTGACAGAGATGTCTAAAGTTATATGACCTTGACACAAATGTCTGAGTAAAGTAATATGACCTTGACAGAGATGTCTGATGAAAGTAATATGACCTTGACAGAGATGTACGAGTAAAGTAACATGACCTTGACATAGATAGGTCAGTAAAGTAATATGACCTTGACAGAGATGTACGAGTAAAGTAACATGACCTTGACATAGATAGGTCAGTAAAGTAATATGACCTTGACAGAGATATGTGAGTAAAGTAATATGACCTTGACAGAGATGTCTAAAGTTATATGACCTTGACACAGATGTCTGAGTAAAGTAATATGACCTTGACAGAGATGTACGAGTAAAGTAATATGACCTTGACAGAAATGTACGAGTAAAGTAATATGACCTTGACACAAAAGTTACAATTGGAGCACTATTAGCAGCGTGTATAAGTGGTGATATTGCACATTCTAAGCCTGTTAATAGTGCCTAGTAATATCAAGTGATAAATACCTAAAACAAAAAATCTCTGACATGGCAGAATTTCTTGTGATCCATTCAAAACATTTTCCCAAATATTCAAGCATGTTCACGCAAAATGGATGTATCTAATTTATTTAATGCAAGTTACACTAGACTTGCACTGACCCTGTGATATCTATATAATATCTTAATTAAAATGTTATCACAAATTTTATTTAGAAGATACAATAGCTTCAAGCAATGTTCATTGTTCGACTTCTATACAAGTAGGTTGGGTTGACCTTTCATTAAAATATAAAAACCTGATTTACATGAGCAATTCATTTACCTGTTTTGTTAAAATGTATAAAACTTTTAGAAGAGAATGATAAAATAGAATTTGTTTGCACGAAATAATAAACCTTGATATACATCCAGAACTGTATGTATGTATATCAATTTTAATGCTGTTAGAAAGTCTTACATTACTTGTTTAGTAATTTGAGGATTTTGTTTTTTGGCACAAAAAATACCTTGCATATCATTTGCAACATGATTTTCTTTAGTTAAAGTTACACTACACTACAATAAAATTAATGATCTTATTATGCAGTGACCTAGTTTTCTATAACGTTTCTTCATTTCATGTAAATAAATACACTAACCCATGCAAATTACAATACTAGGACTACATTTCTAACATTGATAACAATTTCTAGATACTTGTAACTATGTATTGTCTCAATCCGTTCAAATTATAATTATCCTTTCTTATGTAAATGCAGGTGTAGTTTAAAATAGTCCCCCCCCCATCCATTATTATAATAAGCATGACAGTTAACCTTTTAGCCTGCTGAATTTGTATAATGGATTTGTCCCATCTTTGAATTTGGAACAGTCTATTCAATGTTTAAGGGATTTTGATATAAAAGATACACAAATTGAGCTACCAACAGTATAGAGGCTGGTTAGACTGCACAGATGTGCAAGCTGGCCTGTATCTATTATGTTGGCAAAGGTTAAGCACTTTCCATTCAAGCAGGATCAGGTTAGAAACAGTTACCTACACTTCAAATATTTGCTTTTAGTATGAATCCGAAACCTTTTCCTTATGGTACTTATTACAAACTGAAATTTGACGAATTTAACACAAAGAAACGAAAAACAAAAATCTAAACAAAACATTGCAAAAAAAACATATCCTTCAATATGCCCTTCAAATCTCAACAACTACAATATGTAACAAAAAATAAATAAATTGACTATACATATATATATTTATCTATATATATATATCTAATTAACAACTACATTGCATTGCCATTCACTGGCTTGCAACGCTTGTAATGGTTTAACAACACCACAATGTGAGATCTTGTATCAGCAAATGTCGAAAAATCTTTTTCTTCTTCTTTTTTTTAAATTCTACAAGTTTGCAAGTCCATTGGCTATATATAAAGCACATAAAATATAGCTCTAACAAGTGTTTTTTTCTTCTTAAACAACTGTAAGATTTATTTGAATCTGATCTTTTCAAAGTCTTGTAACTATAAACACACAGCATTTCTGTCTATATAAACCCATCAGAATATTAATGTTTTCAAGAATGAAAAACAGCACGTTACCAGCTGCTTTCAACCTATCTTATCATGTTTTTGAAATTGATATATTAATTAAAGTATAAAAGCTTATTGTTTGCAATGCTTGGTACATTTTCTTTTTCTTAAATTTCAGTTTACAAAGACACTGAAAGGCCTGACTTGCTATGTCTCAATTGTATTTCCTTAATTATCAGTAAGCACTCTAAGAAGACCTATGATTTTATTTAAGCCACACAGACAATTGTACAGAAAAAATCTGAATTTATGGTGGGAATCAAACATTTATAAGTATATAAGTATGGCAAAAGCTATATCTCTTTCATAAAGAAAAAACTTGAAAGAGACACTCACCACACCTAATACCATGTTGAAGACATCTTCAAATCTATGTAATTTCAATAAAATTGACAGGGTGTATTAAGTTACTATTGAGATAGCGCTTTACAATGACAAATCTTCAGACATTGTTATGTTGTTACACCATTACATAACATACATATAATATAACAACACAAGAAATACACATCTATCTCTCGTAACAAACTAATCCCAACATAATGTAAAATATGGATTTTCTTTCTGCATATAATATTTTGTGTCATATTCTAAGTTTATCCAATAAGAGCACCACTAGCAGTATTTCCAGGGTTCGAATTTATAAACAAGTTTTCGAAGCTCAAACTCAGATCTCAGGTATCTGATTGGTCCGAGACTGGCACAGAATGTACTCTGACCAATGAAAACCCTGACATTTGAGAGATGACCCAAAAAAAAGTTTTATAACCTCAAGACGAGGTCTATACCACCAGTAGAGCCAGGGTAGCAAGAACATTCATGCAATCTAACTCAACACTACCGGCTAAAGTTTAATTTTTGTGCTTTGATACTGAAATCCCTTTAATTGCCAATGGACTGATCCAATTTCAAAGCATGGAAAGTCCATTATGTAAGTACAGCAGGGTAAGGATTTATAGTTAAATAAGACGGCAAAGGAGATAACAAATATTATTTTAGAATAAAATGAAAAACAGATTTTTCCTCTCTTCATTTTTCAATTGCAGCCTTTAAGTAAGCTAAACAACTTTCTTGTTGTAAGCATATTGATAAAGTCCTTTAACTTTTCTATTGAGTAGTTTAATCATTAAAGTCTTTTATGGCAAATTACAGACACAACCTTTTTTGTTTCTATAATAAGACAATAATTCTAATATTAGGAGCGATGAAGTTATTGCTGAGTCATGACTTTTATAAAATCTTAGTCAGCACTTTTGTAAAATCTCACAAAGAAGAGATGTTCAGTTTATGAACATTGTAATCAACCTAAAATAAAGCAGATACCAAAGTAAAATTTGTCTCCATTAAACTATTTTAGATTTTACAACAAAATTCCATTATAACGCTCTTGTTTTCCAGATTTTCTCTTTAAATATGTCCGTTAAAATTAATTTTCAAGGTATAAATAAATTCTATGACACCATTAAAGCAAAATTTCACCCTAATGCATTTATCTTACAAAGTTTTGTTGTTCCAATAACCTCGTAAATAATTCATCCCCACAAAGATTTTTACATTATATCAATATTGTTTATGTATGAATAATTTCTGTCATTATACAGAAAGCAGCCAGTTGACACAGATTTTGTTATTGCTCCTGGTCCTAAAGAAGAATATTTGATCTTATTAATTAGATATGCTCACATACTATTAGCTTGACAGAATTTTTATAAATACATTCAAGGGTAAGAAATAAATCTGTCATTCAAATAAGATTGGTATATATTCTGTTAAGAGACATACTTAATTTCTAAAAGCTAAACCAAGAACATAATGATCAATTTTAAGACAAATATTTCATCAAAAGGGTAATTAAATTTTTTAAGGTAACAAATCAGCATGTCAGATCAATGAAAAAAGGTGACATAATTTTACTTTGGTATTCTCAACTTAATGACAAAAAGGGAAGAAGTGAATAAAAACATTTGCATATAAAATAAACATTGTGAATATCACACATTATTCTATCATTCTAAATATTGCTAGGTGTGTGTTCTTGTGCAACTTTGTTTTTTTCTTCTGAATTATATTGACTAATATTGACTACCGTTTCACAGGATATAGACACATTATATATATGAAATAACTAGTTTCCACTATTCAAATCCATTCAAATAAACATCATCATATGTCCATGCACTCCTTCATATATATCATCATTTTTACTTCTTGCGTAACTTGATTAGACTGAAGTTTTTAACATCTCATCACATCGGGGTATATAATTATACCATTAACAACGTATGGCACATCACTGTATCTGAAGTGCTAAGTCCGGGATATCTGAGGTGCCACCTCCGAGCCATCATTTTGGTTTGGATCGGGTAACTGTTTTATTAAAGCTTTCAGAAGTTCATTCAACATGTCATACTCCTTTTCTTCTAACAAGTCAAATTTTATATTGAAGACCATAAAGTGTGTGAACAGACTGTTCATATGTCCGTTTAGACCGAGCATGAGTAGTTCTTTATAATGGACATGATATATGTGAGCTATAATATGTAACAAGTACTTGTGGATACGTTTAACAATCCCCTCAAACGTAGACGGAAACGGATGACCTGAAAATAAATAAATTAAATGTCAATATGAAGCAAATATGAAAAAATATTGCAACTGTCGTTCAAAATTTCATTACGGTATAATTGAATTATTTGCGTCCGTGGCCGAGTGGTTAAGGTCATTGACTTCAAACCACTTGCCCCTCACCACTCTGGGTTCGAATCCCCACAGGGACTTTGGATTCTTTCATGTGAGGAAGCTATCCAGCTAGCTTACAGAACGTCTGTGGTTCTACTCAGGTACCTGTTCCTGCCTGAAATAATGCACAGAGGGGCACCTGAGGTCTTCCTCCACCAGTAAAGCTGGAATGTCGCCAAATGACCTATACTGTGCCAGTGTGACATAAAACCCAAAACAAACAAAATTGAATTATTTTTGAACTACAGACTTTTATAATTTAAGGATGATATTATTGAATTATTTCTAATCTACATGTATATAGTGAAAGAAGTCCATGTTTGAGTAGTGAGAACAAGCCGTAACAGCTTTGTCTATTTTATATACAATTTGATACCATTAAAAAAACCTTGGTCTATATGCTTTTTTCCCTCAGATTTTTGTGTAATACTTGTGTGAGGAACTGGCCAGGAGAAAAAACGTAAGATCTAAAAGTGTGTAAAACATAGCATTAACCCGTTAGAAAATATCAAAAATTATATCATGACATAAACAAAGTAAGTTTCAGTAATAAAAACTTATGTATTACTTTGACAGTGAAGGGCATGGCTGTTGATCATTAATTTAAATGACATAGGTAAACAAAAATGTATGTCACAAATAAAAATAATTGGATTATTATGCAATATGGAATATTATTATGCAATATGGACCATCATTATAAGTGATACTATATGGTTAGGGTATCACTACTTCATCACAACAGTGCTATAACAATATCTTTTTAACTCATTGAGCTACAACAGTAATGCATTGATAACTCCATTAAACTGACATCAATCTGTCACAGAAAAACAATACATTAAACGTGGATAATTATACAGGAACCACATGTTCAGTTTGCCTACAGGGAGTCTATAAATCCATTATAAAATTAAATCAGTCATGAAAGGTTAGGTCTCTGCACTTAAATAACTATCTTTATGCTTCATCAGATGATTAGTGTCTATAATATATACGTCTTGTCTTGTATCAAGATCCACAATGTTTGCCGATTATCAATTTTCAACGACCATCAACCAAATCATAGTCAAATTTCCTGATAACTATTCAAACTAATCGTATAAGATCTGATTAAGATTGTTGTAAACATCCCGATTTACGTGTATAGAAACCAGTCATCATATAAACTTAGGAAAATCAGCCCTACCAAATGACAAAATTTTGTTGAAGTCAACAAGCGTGTTTTGGAAACGCTAAACTTTCGGAAAAACATAAGTTTTATATTGACAATTAAAGGAAAGGTAGAAATAGTTCAGAAGTAGATTATTTATAAACACAGCATTCCTTGAAAATGTCAACAAACAAGATAAATATGACTAAAATTATATCCTGTTTGGATATCAGGCGAGAGCATCTTGACATGAAATTATGCAGCAAAATCTATTTATAGAACGTGGATTAAGTCTCCCTTTGATGAACATTTTCTTTATCTGACAGTATAATCTTAATGTAACCTGAGAAGCAGGTAAACACCTCCTTCTAAGAAAACATCTAGGGGTGCATTTAATCAGGGGATATCAAATTTCAAACTTTAAATTTCAAAGTAATGCCTATCTCATATTTCTAAGAAAGAAAAACTAATATATAACATTTACATTTTTTGTTATTTAATATTGCAGCTGATCTAGTATAGAAGACTTTAAAATTATATTTGCTATTTGCTAAAAATCTTCTACTCATATGTATAATAATGAAAATGAAATCAGGGAAGTGTAGCAACACCACAGAGATTCTAAAACTTCAAGCCTCTATCAGATGCAGTATCTGCCCCTCCCATATTTTTTGTTCAAAATCACGTTTTCATTAATAGGTATGTGCAATAGTAACTTTAATTCAAAGAAAACAATAATTGGACAGTCCGGTTAGAGTGTATCCAAATCAATTTGCATAAACCCTGAAGTGAAAATCCCCAAAAGTGCAGTGTGCATTGCAGTAATATTTTACCTGCTTTTTTACATTTACATCTATCTTTATTGTTGTGAAATATGGGGCAATTTTAGGAAATGTTTTATATTATGCTACATACCAAATTTGGTTGGAAATATTGACTCATCTGAGATTGTCTTTTGTATATAAGTTGTGACGTAGTCAATATACTGGGCAGCTGACTCTTTATTTTTCTTTCCTTTCTCGTCTGTCCAACAAAATTGCCTGTAACAAAACATGAACAAATAATGAAATTGAGCAAAATACTTAGTATACTCTACAGCACCAGATGTATAGAAGAAAACTGATAAACTTAGAACGCTTGCAAAAAAACTCATAGTTTTGTGCTTGATTTTCAGAAAATGTATAATAAATCTTATAGAGTTTTCTGAAAATACATGAATAATCATAAGTTAAGAGCACTTATTAAGAATCAATTTTATCAACTTTAAGTTTAATTTCCTCTTACATTAAAAAAAGAGTTTTATTTTTTTTCATAAATTCTAACTGCAATTAATTTGTTCTGCTTTGAATTTTGAGGACTATCCATGGTTAGATTTTGGGATTTTCTATACTGAAATGCTAAAATTATACTGCTAACAGAGTTACCATTCCCCTATACAAAATGTATTGTTTATATCAACATATGACTTATATCAATACTGTTGCCACAGTCATGACTATTGTTTTAAAATTGAGTGACTCTCTGATATAACCATATCAGGATAAAACGATATAAATTCAGGAATCCCCTGAATATTGTTATACTTGAAGTTTACTGTACAGTTATATAAAAAGTAAACCTTTTCAGTTATAATAATAAGATGACACATTTGAACCTAACATGTTTTTGTGTCAAGTAATGTCAACAGATATCAATCTATTTGTAATCATTTCTAAGGCAATTTAATCTTTTCACTCTACTTGACATGAACAGTTGAATAGCCTGCTCCAGGAAATAAAATGTCCATATCAGAGAAAACAATCACAAATATTTTATGCTTGAACACTAATAAGGTTATACTGGTACTTAAAAAAACAATAATAAACTAAATGATTTTTTTAGGATAATTTGAAGTTTGTAACAAAGGCAAAACAAACTTTTTGTGATTTTATCTCAAGTTTGATGAACATACTAGGTAGACATTTTTTATAGGTTTTTTTCCTACTATCATTTGTGCATGAGGCTTCAGGCAGAGAAGGCACATTGGGCCACAAACCTTCTGCTAGCTGGCCAACTTCCTAACAAGAAGGAATTAAAATAATGTATCTGGCCGAAGAAAGTTTATATTATTATAAATATGTCAGCTTTTGTTAGCCTCTATAACCTGTTGGGGCTGGGGGGGGGGGGGGGGGGGAATTATTTTGGTAAATGGATATCAAGGTCCTTGCATGTTTGACTAATTGTAACATCTAGATTTCATTACCTGCATAGTCAGATTAAAGTCAAATCTCAAGTTTCAATCCATCCCATTATCAGCCCATTACATATCTGATTTCAAGAAAGTTCAACTTGAAACTATTTGTGAACTGATTACTTATTAGTAAGATTTCCATGAAATATAAGAAAACAATTTCTATGAAATTACTTCAAGTTGGTTTAACAATACTAAATTTATCATATTCATCATTTAACCTGTTTGGATGTATGCTAGGGTATCTTATAACTACATTATTACTGTAACAGCAGAATTATTTGCTGAATCATTGATCCTTTATAAAAAATTTTTTTTAAAAAGTTGCAGTCTGCTCAACCGGAGTTCTTACGTTACAGTCAGTTTATAATTTATCTTTATAAATGGGAGTTTCATTTTTCGTGTGTCAGAAAAAAAAATCTCCTTGTCCACAGGTGGATAAAAATTTCACAATATTTTCAGAATTATTTGATTTATCATACATAAAGAACATATGGGTAAATTAAAAAACTTCACATGCTACATGGCTGAAAGTTAAAACTTGATTATTATAAACAAAAGAGCCAGGATTTCATTTTAGAGATGTCCTGGTGTCCTTGACTCAAGAAATCAGCTTTCAATATTTCATGTTAAATTTTTAATCATTCTTTACTCATATACTGGAACATATAGGGCTAGCACCTGGCAAATCCCTGACTATAGAGGTAAACACTTCAGCTACAAGGTCAGTCTTAATTTAAAGTTTCAGATAAACCTTGACTTACTGAGTGTAAAATTTTATGTCTATATTAAAATAACTTCAACCATGTGTAACTGTGGACGATTGAAGTTATGTCAACCAAAATTTAAACAGTATCAATAACTTCATCTTAGGTATATCTCCTTTTAATATCAAAGATGGAAAATCAAAGTTTAAGGTTTTTGCACTTATGTGTATTTATAGAGGATATTTATGTGTTTTGAAGGTAAGATCAAAATATTATTCACAGAGTGAACACAGATGTAATCTTTTCACGAGTGGCATACCTATGAGTGAAAATATTAGAGGTGGTATTCACGAGTGAAATATAATTTGATCTTACATACAAAAGAAACAAATTTTCTATTTAAATCATGCTCTTTAGGGTTTTTTAAATAATTTTTATTGCATTTTGCAGCGTTACGACATTCTATTACAATCATGACATCATCAAATCATGACATCATCAAATCATGACATCACATTGTTCTTGTTGAAAACTGATTCTGTAAATTTTTTAAATGATATTAATTTTGCAGATATTCACATGCTTCTCTTTATCAAATGACAAAATGTATTTCTGACAATTTTCCACTTATTTTTTTTTTTAGATAGAATCTATATCATTTTCATCTGTATTCAGATAATGATATAGTACGGCTATGATGAAAATTATATTTTTGTGTTATGTTATTTCACTGTCAACTAAAAAGCATGTAAGAAATTGATATGTCTGTAGACTGTTGTACATTGTCGTTTTTTGCTGTTTTTTTAAAGAACTAGCATGTATGTCAATACACTGTATTGTTTTGTTTTCAAAGAACTTGTACTCTAGTTCTTGAGGAAATATGATATAGGCCATGTTTCAGTACATACAAATGAAATCTAATATATTACCAACTAGTAGTAGTTATATATTGAAATTCCTTGAATGGTCAACATATAAAAATTACCTTCTGCTTTTTTGGTTAATTCAACCTATTATTATTCTCTAAGTTATGACTGTATCACTCTCAATTTTAAACAAATATCATCATTAACTGTATAATTTGTTAAAATTGGAATTTTATTTTTGTATTTAAGGTGTCTAATCCACTAAGCCTGGTACTTGTATTTTGATTACAAATATTTTGTTTGTTAAGTTTACTTTACTTTTGTTTACTTAACTTTTACTTTAGTTTACTTCAATTCAGTTTACTTTACTTTAGTTTACTTTTACTTTGGTTTATATTACTTTAATTTTACTTTAGTTTACATAACTTTAGTTTACTTTATTAATGCACAACAAGTTCATAAGAGAAGTTGTATGATGTATGATTTGAACCATTTACATAAAATATTCTTGCCTAAAATGTACATCATTTATATCAAATATTCTTGCCAAAAATGTACACCATCTATATAAAATATTATTGCCTAATATGTACATCGTTAATATCAAATAGTCTTGCCTAAATATATACACCATTTATATCAAATGTTCTTGCCTAAATATACACCATTTATATAAAATGTTCTTGCCTAAATGTACATCATTTATATATAATATTCTTGCCTAAATGTACATCATTTATATATAATATTCTTGCCTAAATGTACATCATTTATATCTAATATTCTTGCATAAATGTACATCATTTATATCTTATATTCTTGCCTAAATGTACATCATTTATATCTAATATTCTTGCCTAAATGTACATCATTTATATCTTATATTCTTGCCTAAATGTACATCATTTATATCTAATATTCTTGCCTAAATGTACATCATTTATGTCTAATATTCTTGCCTAAATGTACATAAGATTTTAAGAGTGTAATCAAGTAGAGTAAAATTGAACATAATTATACACATTAATTTTTAATGTAGATTAACCCCCTCAGGTAAAATACATTAAATTCAATTGAAAAAGTAAAGACTTGGGTGTGTCATATAAACAGAAAAAAGTAACCATAGTTTACCATATCAAGTTGTTTGTCATATCAATTATGTAAATGTTTGTTATTAATTTTCAGTTGTTTAATTTACTCTTAGTCTGATTCTACCCAGTACCAGAACCAGTGCAGACCAGATCACCTGACACATCCCTGCCATCACATCATGGTCTGCACTGTTTGCTATTGACTATTCTGTAAAATATCTTAAAATTTCCCCCTAAAAATGATGAGTGCTTTATCATTCTGATATTCAAATAACTTTTTAAACTACAGGAAGTTCAAAACTAAAAAGCTGGCCAAGTTCTTCTTACAAAAGAGTAATCAAAACAAGGGATGGTCAGAAAAACTAGTGTGTACTAATACTTTCAGTACTTGAAAGTTAAACAAGTACTATATGCAAGAATTTATAAGTATTCTGAAACTGAAGGAACAGTCTTATGTTGTAAGATAGAAGAACAGTCTAAATGTTAGGGGGGGAAAAAATCAAATCTTCTTAGTTGTTTCTATTTATAAAGTTTAATTTTGTCACAGTATCATGAAGGTTACAGATGGTCAGGTATTGCAAAGTTTTACCATAAAAGCCAAGTTTACTAAGGTACTTGACTAGTTTAAACAAGGTTTCAAAATTATCTTTTCTGATAAAACCGCTGAACTTTAGTAACTTTCAAGTGTTAACTTTATAATGTAAGTGTACTTAGTTTCTAATTTTGATAGCAATTTATCTTATGATGCAGGATGTAAAGTGTTGCAAAGGTTTCATAACCACATAATAAATGTTATTTAAGAGTTAACTTTTATTTATTTTTCTAAAGTCAGGATACAGTTTACTCTTGAGTGAACAAGATTGTTTACCAAACCTTAGGCTTACTTTCTAGTGGCCTTACTTTATTAAACTTTACCCTACTAGCAGCAAATAAATTTACCCATACAACCAATGCAGATCAAGATCAGCTAGCTCTTTTACACCATCTGCTCATGGTTTGCATTTTTTCGTTTTTCATTCAGTTCATTTTTTGAAATTTTCCCTAAAAATGATGAACGGTTTTGTCCAGGTTGAAAGATGGACAAAAATATTATATGTAAGACACTTAAGTTTAGTAAGGGTTAATACTTCATGCATCCATTACTGCGTGGTTAATGTCACCTAACTGTAAATAGCTTGTCCCCCTCACTGCTGCGGGTTTGAATCCCAATAGGTTCTTTAAATAGACAGCTTATGAGAGATCTGCAGTTCCTACTTGAATAAAATTGGACAGTTACCAAAGGACATTTAGATTTCATTAATAATGTAAGCCTTGATTTATGTCAACTTAAATGATGTCATTCAGAACATGTCATGTGACCTTAGGAAATGATTACATTTAATAAATGTCAGAAAGAAAAATATCACACCATACTTAAGTGAGATCAGGCGATATTTAAAATTGAAAGTTTAAAAGTATTTGATGGTTTTGTTAATAGATTACATCAGACTTCAGTAGGCTTAGTGGTTGGTAATAATAAGTGAAATGATGGAAACTATAAATTGTTATTTCTTAAGACGTAGTTTAAAACTTTATGATGTTTATAGGTTCCCGTTTATGACAAATTATATGTTAATGAATAAAAATGAGTAAGAATTTATTTTTTTCTGTATGGAAAAAACTATGATTAATCAAATGATTAGCTTTATCCTAAAACATAAAATGTTTTGAAACAGTGGTTTCTATTGGCTGAAAATATAAGTTAATCTCATTTTTAGCCAATCAGAGAACTGGTTATAGCCCTGACTGATAAATTAAGCAAAGATTTTAACAGCAGCAACTGACTCTACGTCAGACCAAGAGTACATCTGTTCTATCTGATCAGGGTCTGCACTGTCCAGTCTGTTCATATTTCGAAATTTCTCTAAAAATGATGAATGGTTTTGTCCATATTGAAGGATGGACAAGTCCATTTAATATAAATATGGTATGGTAAGGGAAAATGATGTGTGTATGTGTGTTTTTGTTTGTTTATCCTCGCCACCGGAAAGACACCATATGGGCGAGCATAAGGAAAACGATGAGTGCAGTAATGACTTGATATACCTTGAGTATAGTATAGGTCAACCTACACATGAACCTCAATTCTTACCAGACTTGATACTTTTAGGCTTCTTTACTTTCATTATTATGATATTTAAAAAAATATATTATATAATATGCCAAAATAAAGAAAAGGTTATACTTACACATTCCCTGGGCCTGTCATGGTGGCACAAGTTTCACCAGTACAGTACTCTGATATTACACCATACATAAGGTTTACATGGTTAAAAAATGAAACAGCTGAAACAGAAAAGAGTTAAATATAATTTCTGCAAAAAATAAAACCAAAATCAAACAAAAAGAACAAATTTAGTTAAACAACAGATTATACAATGAATCCATTTGTTTCTCTTCTTATGCAGGGACTAAGAAGAATTTTAAATTTAAATCAATTACATGTACTAGTACTATTTTTATATCCTAGATAAAGGGTTATAAAGAAATGTTCTCAGCTCAAACTCAGATCTCAGGTACTACTTGCATGGTCAGAATCCTGCACAGAATATACACTGATCAATGAAAATCCCAAAAGTTGAGGCAGAGATCAAGAGTCTAAATGTTTCTTCACATTGACGTCTAGTACAAGCTCAAAACCCAAAACTGTATGTGAATTCCTTCATAGTACATGAATCTGGTTATGAAACATTTAAGTACATGTTTTAGTGCTCTCTAAACAACTTTCTCATGTAATATGGTATCATATCATCACCTTAATTCATTAACGAGTTAACTCCTTATATCATTTAAGAGGAGTTACCTTGTTACTGCACTAAGGTGATGATATGTTCAATGAAACATGTGTCATGTCTCAATCAAAGAACAAATTACAGCACTACTAATACCACTGATTTTTATGAAGTTTAATTTACCATGTGTTGCTAGCCACTCATTATAATCTAGACATTCTGGTATAGAAACTAGTCTGTAAAAATCTGTGTCAGTGATCCGGTCTCGCACAAACTGTTCCTCTAAATATTGCCGGTACTCGTCTTGTAGGGGTGGGGTCGGAGAATCTTTGTCTTTTCTTCGGCCCTTCCTGAAAAAGAGAATAAGCTTAATATAATTTTCATATTAATTAGTAATTGTAATTTGATTGACATTTAGTTAACAACACTGCATTTGTTAATAGTATGCAGTTTTTAAGGCATACTTCTAGGTATATCTGTGACTGCACACTTTCCTAGGCTATGGACACAAGTTACAAGACTGAGATGACATTACTTAGTCGGTCGTTATAATGCAGATTCAATTTGCTGACAATTAACTCTCAAAAGGGATATCTCTTTAATAACTTTTACAAAATGTAGTATATGCTTAATAAATAAATATTGGAATAGAAATATAGTGAGGTGTTTATTCAGCTCTAGTTTATTCAAATTTGTTTGCTCAATTTGCAAGCTGAAGTTGAGATATAGCATGTGACAACAATAAACTGCATGAAAAAAAGCATTATATTTCATAATATTTGATAAAACTACATGATATAATGCAATCTATAACCAATATCGTCCTAACCACAAGACTTTATTACATTTTAGTGTCACTCCAATGCATTGCACCAAAGTCATTTTTCTATTTACAAACATTACAAGTGCTGCCAAAAATCTTGACAAGTCATCTCTATGTATAGACACGCATTAATCAATCTTATATAAGATCAAAATAACATCTTGTTTATAAAACAACAAGCAGACCTGAACCATATATGAGTCATATGTGCATCGATGAAATACGCAAAATAAAATCCATGTCAAATTAAATCATTCAATCAAAATACTGCGCTCACTATTTGGCAACTTTTCCAAAACTTAATGTATAAAAACACTTATAAGTACAAATGTTTAGTCCTTTTTTAGATCAACATTTTTATAATTGAACAGCCAAGCAAAAAAAGCTTCCTCTTTTGAAATGGTTTGAAGATCAATGGTGTAGAACCAGCCATAGTGCAGAAATCTATAATAAACAAACTTGTTGGAGCGAAATCTTTGTATATAAATATTAGTTCAGTTACAATATATCAGTTAAGAAAGTCTTTTACAGGTATTTAATGGGACTATTTTTCCTGATGAAAGGAATTGCATATCTAATTTATAGCCCTGTGTTCAATGCAAAATTGATACCCGTATCAAAGACCTGATTTTATACCTTTCATGTTTTGTTAAACTAAACAAATTAGTCCTTAAACGTACATGAAAATTTAAACCACCTGGTCAAATTCATTAACACCACTTAAAAACCTTGAGGTCAAAATTTGAACTATAACCTTGAAAAGTTCTTGTTTTGCTTAAATCTGCACTATAAATGGATGTTTTATTTTGAAATGTTGTATTAAAATACCTAAGTCTACATGAAGAATATACTTATGCAACCAGTGCAGACCATGATTAGCCAGCACATCAATGCCAACACAGTGCTTGTTTTGCAATTTTCCCTGAAAATAATGAATGGTCTTGTCTGGACTGAAAGGCGGTCAAGTCCGTTTCAAATATATAGCATTGTTAGTGTAAATACTATTAGTATTTTCTAAATCATCTTTTCAAATTTATTAAAGTAACTTCATATGAAATAGATTTTTAAACAACAATTTGAACAAGACACAAGGACAACTTGCCATCAGGACTCAGGTTTTTAAAAACTTCAAATTTCCTTTTTTGAGAAGTTAAAAAATGCATCTACTGACCCTTTAGAGTCAATATTATATAGTAGTTTGTCTTTATGAATATACTATTAGAACAAAGATATTTATGATGGTCAAGAAAACTGTTTTATTTTCTTGTTTAATAACTGATTGATTTGATATTTTAACAATTTTCAGATAACTCGACGAGTTAAAGACTGACGGCAATAAAAGGTAACAATTTTGAAGGACTTAATATGCCGGTTTATGACAATTTGCAACATATAGTATATACGTTTCATTTGTAATGTCTTACAGGTTGAACCATTGGAACAATAAGAATATTGTAGAAATTCTCATTTTGATAATGAAAAGCAAAATTGCCTTTTTTAAAGACTCAAATAGTTTATGCTGCTCATTTAAAATCCCCCATTTATTTTTGGACAAAATCCCCTATTTTTTGGAAGTGAAATCCCCCTATCTGGGTGGCTGGTAATATGACAGGTACATCAGTGTTATCAACGGGCTAGGTCAGACTGCATGGATGTGCAGGCTGCCTTAGTCAGAAGCAATCTAAGCAATCGACTATCAATAGTAAAATATATCGTACCACCAGCAGTCCACTAACAATGACCTGTCAATTCTGTACTCTGACCTTTCAGTTGACTGGGCCAAGTAAATAAATACTTCTTATTCAATATAAGTACTTTAAAGCTATGTTTTGCCCCAGATAAATATTTTTGTTAAAAGCTGTTTTCTTCTGAATTTGGACACACAGACACCCTTTGTGTTGTAGTGTCATTTCATTAAAATATTTACATACAAAGAAAAACATTGAAGGATTTTAACTACACAAAGTTGGCAATCAGACAACTTTTTTCAATTGAAAATCAGCTGATTTTCTTACTAGATTGAAGTCTAAATGATATTTATTTAAAGCACCCAAACAAAGAAAATACGAAACTAAATTGGGATAAATTTGGACAAAGACCAATAAATCAAGTCATATAGAACATCACCATCTAAATTAGTTAACAAAAAACATCTAAGATTCACCAAAATATTGTAACTAAATATATGTATACTAATAAATTATTGGCAATGAACTAGAACATTTTATCCAAATCAAAACATGGAAGTTATTAAAAAAAAAAATCCATCAAAATCAGGATAAAAAATACAGCCAAAATTAATCTTTCACTACAAACTCTCTCCAAGCATGATATTGAACCTGCCAAAATTAATCAAAGTAATTTACATCTGACAAAATTTGACAAAAATTTCAAACAAAAAATTTGATAAGATGAAGCAATCAGCTTGTACAAATGTTTTGATTGTCACATATTTTAATTAATAAAAAGTTACATGAAATCTAGTGTCATCTCTGTCAAGTTGTACAAATACTTAAATGTTTAAAATTTTCTTTATTTTTTTTTAAACCCTATATACCGGTACTATCAAGCAGAAATTTGGCCTTGTCGAGGATCAAATTAGTAACCCCTTGATAACAAAACTGCTGACCTCGCTATCGAGCGAGATAGGCAGAACTCATAATTCACTGAAGACAGCTTCATTTAGGACGAAGAATATAATTATGGAGTTAAACTGTTTACGCCATTGCTTTAACTTTACATTAAAATGCAATTTTATATTCTGCAGCAATTAAGTATCATCTTAAGAAATATATTATCCGAGCATAAGTTTTCCATTCTAGAGAAGATCATTGATGCTATTTGAATTACAATCAATAGAAATTTACGGAAGTTTACAGTCATATTAAAGAATATATTCATCTGCAGTCATTTGGGACTCTAGATTTCAATCAGATTAAAACTCAATAAGCAGCAGGAAATCAAGTTTTTGCCCCCCAAAAAATTAAGAAATATGATCATGTCCGCCTTTCCGGGGTTCCTATTTAGTAAACCCAGACTTTAAGCATTTATTTAAGAGTCAGATTTACAAATAAAGAAGTACTGAAGCTAAAGAGATTATGTTGCCACAAATCAAATCCTGCATTGAATACATAATCTTAACTTCCTTTATTTACAAAATTGTACATGTTGGTGTCAGTGTCCTCGGTTTCTACATTTTATAGACAAGAAAGGCATTGCGCTGAACATTAATGTGTACTGAATGCACAGCCAAACAAGAGCTGTCAGTAAGACAGTATGCTCAACTAAACTCAGTGTTTGGATTATGTTGAAAGTTCAAAAGAGCCATAATTTTGTCAAAATCAATGTTATTTTATCTGGGTCTTGGGCAGTGATCATCTATTATGCTCTAACATAAGTTTCAACCCATTTGTCTTCAGTAGTTTTTAAGATACAAACTTGCAAAAAGTTTGACAGCAGTGTTGTCACCGCCTCTGACACTGACCTCTAGGCGAGTACATTAGCTCTCCCTTTCTTTTGAATAAGTCAAGCTAAAAAAAGTTACATCAGGATGTCGTTTTATTAAAGGAATTACAAAACTATATCTTTAGAAATTATTTTATATCATTTATAAATGGTACAAGAGCTGTCGGTAGGACAGCAACGCTCGACTATTCTTAGTGCTTGATAGTAAAAAAAATGCTTGATACAGTTACCTCCTCCTGTTTACAGGTTGGGGTCATGATGGTGAACAAGTGTGCAAAGTTTCAAAGCCATATGTCAATGGACTTTGAAAATATTTGAACTATTAAAAAAACTTTAACGTAAATTCTAAGTCGAAAAAGGGGCATAATTCTGTCAAAATGCTTGATAGAGTTACCTCCTCCTATTTACAGGTTGGGGTCATGATGTTGAACAAGTGTGCAAAGTTTCAAAGCCATATGTCAATGGACTTTGAAAATATTTGAACTATTACAAAAACTTTAACGTAAATTCTAAGTCGAAAAAGGGGCATAATTCTGTCAAAATGCTTGATAGAGTTACCTCCTCCTGTCTACAGGTTGGGGTCATGATGATAAACAAGTGTGGTAAGTTTCAAAGCCATATGTCTATGGACTTTGAAAATATTTGAACTATTACAAAAACTTTAACGTAAATTCTTAGTCGAAAAAGGGGCATAATTCTGTCAAAATGCTTGATAGAGTTACCTCCTCCTGTCTACAGGTTGGGGTCATGATGGTTAACAAGTGTGGTAAGTTTCAAAGCCATATGTCTATGGACTTTGAAAATATTTGAACTATTACAAAAACTTTAACGTAAATTCTAAGTCGAAAAAGGGGCATAATTCTGTCAAAATGCTTGATAGAGTTACCTCCTCCTGTCTACAGGTTGGGGTCATGATGGTGAACAAGTGTGCAAAGTTTCAAAGCCATATGTCAATGGACTTTGAAAATATTTGAACTATTACAAAAACTTTAACATAAGTGGTTACGCCGACGCTGACGCCGACGCTCGGGTGACTGCAATAGCTCTACTTATTCTTATCGA